ACACAAAAAGACAAAAAACACCACAACGACATACAAAAGAACCTCAAGTAGACACAAAATGATCACGAAGACAAACAAAACAACAACAATTAGACAAAAAAACACTATGAAAGATGCAAAATAATTGCACAGACACACAAAACAACCACGGAAAAACAATAATCAGCCACAAAGACACACAAGACGACATAAACACAAACACAACCTGACTGTTTCTGTCCATCAGTGCAGCTGCAGATGTGTGTCAGTTGTGTTGCTGTGTGTTAATCAGCGGTTCTGTCTGATAACATCTGGCTTCACGTCCTCTGTCGTGTCTCTGAAGACTCCCGTCCTCTGATCGTCTGAGCGCAGGACATGTTTCAGTCTCAGTCAGATCAGCTGCACACATACATCACAGAAACGCTTCACGCACATGATCAAGACGAATCATTTCTGTAAGACTTCCAGACTCTACAGAGACGGCGTGAGGTGATCCCGCTGCATGCTCAGCACATGTTGCTCATGAATATCACAGTGAGAGCAGGCCGGTGCACACTTCAACAACCTGAGCTCAGTTTAACTGCAATACAAAGTCCTGCACCTCAACGGAAACAGAACAGCCGTGACTAGAAGGAGAGAGAACTCAAACATGTCTTCTCTGCAGTGTGACACAGTTATAAGGCCAAAAAATTATAAACTTAGTAAAAAATTAAAGTTATGTGATTGTTAACAAAAATGGGATAAACCTGAAGTACAACATTTTTCCTAACGTACGCAGGCGTTACCGCACTGGAAAATAAAACCGTGACTCTACATACTGCACATATTTTACTGTTTGCTGTTTTATTTGTTTCCACACCTTCCTCCTCTCTGCTCTGTGGAAACACTGCCTGCAGTTCATCCCAACTCAGCCGAAGAGTCTCTGAATTTTTGTTACGTGACTGTTGGTCACAACTGAGTCACAAATGGCTTTTTGGTTTCACTGAGGAGTGCAGAATTTTTTGTTTTTTGCAGAATCTTGTTTGGGCAAACACTTTGTTTTTTAAATAATTTTTTTGACATTTTTATACATTTTCTTTTTGCGGTAGAGATAGACAGGAAAAGGGGGGAGAAGAACGGGAAGAGACCTGCAGCAAAGGGTCGTGAGCGGGAGTCAAACCCACGACCGCTGCGTCGGGCAACTATAGCCTCAACTAGGTGAGCTATAGAGGCGCCCACGCTTTATTTTTTTAATCACAGTTTTAGCTCAGATTTAGTTGATTTTCCCGACAGAATGGCAAGTAACAGATGAGTAGTTCAAAGACCGTCAGAAAGTTGAAAATCCAACGATTCTTTCTGTTTTTAAAAGTTTTTGACTCTGATTGATGATGTAATGTTCAAGAATTTAATTAATTTTTTTAAATCAGTGGTTGTTTCATATTTGTAAAATTGTCACGAAATCTAGAAAAACTAGTTTAATTCATGTGACGTCATCTCAATGCAAAGTCCAGCACGGTGTCAGCAACAAACACGACTTCAAACTGAAGCTAGTGTAGAAACACTGAAACACTCTGGACCCCAAAACCTTTATTTATTTTTTCAAATGACCAAAATGACACCATATATCAGAGACAGAAACTGGAGAGACAGAGGAACATGTAGAAAAAAGTGA